TATAACGGCTTCTGTTCCATCCATTTATCTTCAAATTTCATCATGTAAAAATCATATAGTTTATGCACTGTGTACAAATATCTACTGAAGGTTGAACTGTGAATTGAGTAAATTGAGTACTTGAGAATTAAGAGAAGTACCTGACTTATTCTAAACAAACATTTAATTTTTTTTTTCTTTTTCTTTTTTTTGGTCTTTTTGAGACAGGGTCTCCCTGTAGCCTGGAACTTATGATGTAGCCAAGGCTGGCCTTGACCTCACAGAGATCTACTTATCTCTGCCTCTTGAGTGCTGGGATAAAAGGCATGTGCCACCACATCTGGCTTATTTTAATTATTTTAAAGCACTAATATTTTGTTTATATGTACAAGGCACAAAATGAGGAACTCAAAAAGGCTTGCCCAGTGACTCTGTGTTTGAAGAAGGCTGAGGGCCATTGATGTAAAGCACACATGTCATCACAAAACCAGGGCTGGGGCTGGAGCTCAGTGGTAGAGTGATTGCTTAGAATGCATGTACAAGGCTTGAGTTTCCTAACACTGCAGGAGGAAAGTGAGGAGATAGCATATCAAACATAACATGGAAACCATGGTTTCTTTAAAAAATATTTTATTATTTTTATTTTATGTCTATGAGTGTATTGCCTGCCTGTATGTAAGTGCACCCCTGTCGTACAGTGTCTCCAGAGGTCAGAAGACGTTGTCGGATCCTCTGGAACTGGAGTTACACACACTGCTTAGCCACCATGTGGGTGTTGGAACTGAACCCAGGTCCTCTGCAAAAGTAGCCAGTGTTCTTAACTGCTGAGCCATCCGTCCAGCTCACAGCTCAAACAGCTTTTCTTTTCAAGATTTAATTATTGTGTGTGTGTGTCTGTCTGCCTGCCTGCCTGCCTGCCTGCCTGTCTTTATGCACGTTTGTGCAGTTGCCCGCAGAGGTCAATAGAGGGCATCAGGTCACCTGGAGCCGAAATTACAGACAGCTGTGAGCTGCCTGATGTGGATGCTGGGAAACAATCCCATGTCCTGCAAGTACAGCAAGCAGCCTTAAAGCTGCTGAGCCATCTCTCCAGCTCAATCACGTTTTTGATGTAAAAACATTTTGTTACTTTCCCACTTAGCTTCCCATGGTGTCTTGGTGTGGCTGCCCGTGATGTGAGCAGCTCTCCCTCTGCACGCTCAAGTGGAGAACAAGGGACAAGTGCATCTAACTTTTGCCTTCCATGCTGCCATTGTTTCCAGGCATGTGTTCTTCAGTAACATGATGTGGGGCTGGGAAAATAGCTCAGTTGGCAAAGTGCTTGTCTTGCAAACAGGAGGTTCTGAGTTCAAACCCCAGTACCCATGTGAAAAATGCCAGGTGTGCGGGTTTTGGGGGACAAAGACAAGCGTGTGCCTGGGCTCCATGGCCAGCCAGGCTAGCAGATGGTGAGTTCCAGGCAAGTGAGAGTCTGTCTGAAAAATCGAGGTGGACGGCACCTGGGACACTTGATGTTGGCCTTCTGTGTGCGCGCACACACACAGACACACACACACGCACGCGTGCACGCGCATGCACAATTTTTCATTGTTACCTGGTAATTTAGTTCCATGCTTCATTTTATTTGTCTTCTATTGATGACCACTTAGATGGTTGTGGGATATACAATAGCTGGGGGGGTGGGGTGTGCATGCCTTGGCCTCTTCCTAATCCATTTATATGCACTTCTGTTTCAGAAGTTAAAAAATGTGGACGCGTGTGTACACGTGCACATGCGAGGGAGTGATTGTTCAGTGGCCCTAGGAAACATTGCATTGATGTTCTTGAATTTTCTGCTTTTCATACTTTGGATAAGATTGCTAAATTTTGCACCTTGACTTTATGAAACCTTTACAAGTTCAGACATCAGTATTAGGTGGCAGTTGAGAAAGGAGACTGTGAGCAGATCATTTTACTGATGACAGAAAAAATAGACTTTAGGTTTGTGGGTGTCATTACTCTTTTTCCCTGCAGTCAGGAGCAAGATTTTCAAAGTCTTTATCAAAGGGATGTTAGAGCCTTCTGAAGACAGACACGATAGGTGACAGTGTTATCTGATGCACAGGCAGTGAGAGAGGAAGGGAGAGGACAGCCATGTTACCATCACTGCAGCATCAGAGCTGTCTGCTGAATTAACATCTGCAGCCTTGCTGGTCAGCTGAAGAAAGGCCTGTCCATCAGGTGCACAAATAATTCAGAAGTCATCATAGGACTTCTTGCTTTGTGTTTCTGATATACTCAGTGATCGCTGTTCATTTAGAGACATGGTCATTCTGAATGCTTCCCCCTCCCTCATCCAGACCATAAAATATGACAAGGAAAATGCTCATACCTGAAATATTAATAAAAATGTCATTGGAGGAAATTATTGAAGTCAGAATTATTTCTAATATGTATGGATGATTAGAAATCTCAGCAAGTAAAAGGGCTTGCCACCAAGCCTGACAATCTGAGTTCAGTCCCTGGGACTCACATGGTGGGAGGATAGAATTGACTCCCACAAGTTGTCCTCTGATCTCCACGTGGACTGCATGGCATGTGTATCCACACACATATAAATAAATTAAAAATAAATAAATAAATGTAATAAAATAGAGATATTTTTAAAGATATGCCTCTGCAATCCTCAATTATACCCTAATCAAATAAAAATGGTTCTACTTAGGTAGATTTTTGGAAAAATGAATATTCCATTTAAGGCTACCCACACAGGTCTTCAGTATAATAGTACCCTTTCTACTCTTTGCCAGTCTAAAACAACACACACACCCCTCACGTGAAAGATTCTAGGGCCAGAACGGGAGCATTCCTCTGTTCGTTAACCAGTGCTCAGGTAGGCTTTGGAAGCCTAGGTTTAAATGACAGTGCTTTGTTCATGAAGTGTCGAGAGAGATCCAAGTTCCAGTTCCAGTGAGGAAATGAAGTCACTGTGGGAGGCTCTTGCTGGGGAGGTGCCGAAGTGCAGACACCTCTTTGTGGTACAGTGCTGGAACATTAGAGAGGGCAGGGAGAGCACCTGGGTGCTTTAAAAGACCATTGTTTCTGCGTGTGGTTGTGCCCAGCCCCCAAGAGACACAGGCAGGCAGATCTCTGTGAGACTGAGGCCACCCTGGTCTACATAGTAGATCCCAGGCTAGTGAGGCTACAGGGAGACCCTGTCTCAAAACCAAATAAATCAACAAAAAAGAACCATCATTTAGAACAAAAGCCCAGAGCATCTTTCTATTTACTCATTTCTTTAGGGAATGTTCCTGAGTTATTATGAAGCATCGAGCATTCTAGTAGGGCTGTAAAAAGAAAAGAAAGAGGAGGCAGAGGTTCCGTGGTAAGGGACAGATTTATTTTGGGATAAACTTGAGAAGCGCTCTTATCAGAGAAGGAAAAAGAGCAAACTTTTCTCACAGGCTAGGTTTACTTTTCTTTTAATCAGCCCTAGGAAAGGGATGTTGATCAAAGAGGAGGTGGTGCTGTGATCTGGTTTGACCAGGTAGTGTTAATGCCATACTAGGGTGGGCAGTTTTGGTGTTAATGGTGTTGACTCTGAAAATTGGCTTTGGGAAACTGAAACTGTTAGCCTAGTCAGGCAGGAATGTAATCACAGTAGGCCTGGAGGTTGAAGTGGGGTTGCCTCCTGACTGACTGTGAAACTCTGCAGGGTGACCTGGAGTGAGCTTTGAGTTGTACTCTTGTTCTCACAGAAGAGAAGATAAAAGTCGACAAAAGCCACAGAATACCGAGTGTGCTCAACAGTGCTCACGAGCCTCATTGAAGCAGGGAAACATGATAGCTACGTGGGCAGCTATTTTAAAGTGCAAGATCAGGGGAGGACTGACCTTCAGCAATGCTCGTGAAATTTCAGGTGAACCTGAAGTTCATAAGCCATGTGAAGGTCAGGGAGAAGGTAGAGTGCCCTCCAGATGGAAGTGGGGTTGGTATGTTTGAGGAAGAGGTCACAGGCAGGTGCAGCTGGAATCCAGTAATGGGTCAGAGGCAGATGTGAAGAAGCAGCAGGGTGGCTGGGGGCCTAAGTTAGGAGACTATGGAAGGCTTATCAGGAAGCGATGTGATCTGGTCAGCCATGTTGGATTCGCTCTGTTTTCTCTGTGAATGATAAGTGAACAGAACAGGAAACTGAGGGGGTTTGGGCTGCTAGGGAAACCATGCAGTCAGGGAAACCAGAAGTGACACTGTCTTGGGCTTTGGTGGTGGATGATGGTGTGTGGAGTTGGGGAGTTGCAGATCTTATGGAGGCAGTTAGTTGCATGGGGCTGAGGAGAAGGGACTTGCCTGGTGGCTTCATTATCAGCACAGATGATTGAGCTTTGATATTGGATCAGGTGTTCTACGTCAGACCTCACATAAAACTCCAAAATTCTGGCTGCTTTTAAAACGTTAGAGTGTCTGGCTGTATTCAGGGTCTGGTCATGGATCTAGGGTTTTTGATGGTGTGTTTGGTTGTTTGTTTAGGAAATGAGCACTCTTCTGGGCTGCAGAACTTCTGTCTGTCCCCGTCGCCGCCCTGGCAACGAAGCAATAGGTGTCGCTATTTAACAAGTATTCACCTGCTGTTCTTCTATCATGCCTAAGTGACCTATTTGCTATATCTTATTGATCTTTAAATTTTTATGTCTTACCTAAGGTAATCTGAAAATTAAAGTGGCCTCTTCAGCAGCTTTCTAACAAATAATAGTGGTCTGGAAAAACAGCCTATGCTATTTGTTTTGAGCTAGGTTGTCTCCTTAGAGGGTATTGCCTAGAAACACAAGGAAGGGCTTTCAGTGTGTCAAAGATATGCAGGGTCTTGGTCTGGTTACAAAATGGGGCTCAGTTTGTGGAGAATTCACTGGAGTACTTTTGTGTGGAAATTTCTTTCCATTACGTTCTTATTATCACTAGCAGCTAATAGCACTAATGAAGAATAGTTTTAAATATAGATGTATTTGAGTTGAGTGTTGTTTTTATAAATTGTCTGGATCTTTCAGCCAAGCCAAAGCCATGTACTCCTGTAAAGCTGAACACAGCCACGAGCTCTCCTTCCCCCAGGGGGCGATCTTTTCCAATGGTGAGTACCCCTGCTTTACCTCTCTCTTTCCTGGGGGAGCATGGACCAGTGGTGTGTAGCAAGAGAGGACTTGAATTCTACTCTGAACTCCACTTCTTAGCCTGCATTAGTGAACACATCAAGATTTTAGCCGCCCTCCTAGGAGCATGTATCTATACATTTGTTTACAAAAGAGAAGGAAGCACGCCAGGCATGGTAGCATACTCCAGGGGTGGACGCAGGAGGACTGTCAGTTTGAGGCCAGCCCAAGGCAGCATAGTGAATCATACAAGGCTAGCCTGGCTATTAGGCCTTGTTTACAAAAAAGAGAAACAGAGGTGGGAGGTGGGGGTGGAGAGAAGCACACACTCACAGTTTGTCTAATTGATTGTGTAAATACAAAGAAATTTCTGACTTTAAAGGGCCTGAACCATTATTTTGTTTTGACAGCATGAATGCATGTATGTAGTTTCATATGGATTCTTATGTGATTGTTTAATTTACGTGAATTGTTTGAAGCTAGTGTCAACGGACTGACATTTCATTATTTTTTTACTTTGCCAGTCTACCCATCAGTGGAACCAGGATGGTTGAAAGCAACTTATGAAGGCAAAACAGGACTGGTCCCTGAAAACTATGTTGTCTTCCTCTAATAGTATTAGTGGATGGCAGTATCTTCATGGTATCCATGGTAACACATAATAAGTGCTATGATTTTATCTGACACAGATATGGGGGACCAGCCACTAAATGAAGTCGATTTCTGTCAAGTTCTTCACCAGCAGACTGTGTAGCTCCCTCATGACGGAAAGAGGAATACAGATATTTGCGTTGTGACCATTCTGTATGGCTGGTTTCCTACTTTTTAAAATACTTTGCTTTTTGTTTTGATAAAAAGTAATTCTCTACAACGTCTCCTAATAGCAGCCACAGAATTTCAAATACTGTTTTAAATACTGCATCCTCCAGAATTTGGAAACCAGAAACCTGCTGTACTGATGTTGAGATCTGTCCTTTATTACTTGGTATTCTCTGGAGAACCTTGAAATCATTACTTTAAAACAATGTAATTTAAATTGTTCATTTATTTTTTTCTTTAAAATATACTGTTTTTATATATGATTGTTTTGCTGGTCCTAAACATTTCAAGAAAATAAGTCTTTGTTTTATCTTAACTTTATTTTTATTTGTTTTCTAAGATGATAGTATTTGAAACAATAATGTATATGAAGTCTGTAAAGAAATCCGAGTTAAGTCTAACACTGATTCCACTGTAAACAATCAATCCAGAATTCTAGACGGGTTCTGTGGGTTTAGAGCAAGGATCAGCAAACTCTGTTTTTAAGGGCCTAATAGTAAATAGTTTGTGGTGGGCTAGATTTTACTTGTGAATCATAGAAGGCTGGCCCCTCCTTTAAAGTTGTGTAAAGATGCTATCTTGAGACCTTTATAAAATTTTATATTAAAATACAAGCGCTAACAAATCACCTGCACATGTCTTCTGATGGTAGAGCCTAATCACAAGCTTGGTTACAGTTATGGGACGACTAAAGCTGAAGTGCAGTACACAACTTAGTTTCCATTGGTAACACTAAAATGTTGAGATATTTTAATGGTACCGACTTTGGGGCTTATGAGACATTCTTGTACAAATGGTAAATATATTTTTTGCAAACACTAATGGGGAAACTGCCTTCTAAAAATCTGTGCATTTGAAAAAGAAAGTTAAACACAAAAGTACAGGATTCTTAAGCCAAAAAGTGTGAAATGCCATCACCCTCTTTAGCTGGAATAAAATTTACACAGGTCTTTTCTCTGTAGTATTCAGTTTACAGCTTTTCCTGTGAGTTTCACTAAGTTATAGAGCGTCAGATTAGGTATTTACTTTCCATTCATGTGTCAGCAGTGAGTGGGTGTACAGCAGCCATTTTATCATATCTATTTCAGGAATTCTAATATATCGTTTCTATGAGTACTTATACTGACAGTCTTTTTCTGAAGATTCCAAAAGTTGATTACCTGCCATTTGACTTCCCAGCGCCATGCCACTTGGCATTGATGGATAACTGATTTCTTCAGAATTTTCTATAGACATTCAAGTGTTTACTATGTAAAGTACTCTTTATATGTTATTACCTGTAATCTCAATTCCTTCTACATTCTAGAGGTAATATGCTGAATATACATAACACTGTGCCTTGGTTCATTTATGCTTTTAAATGAAGATTAAAAATTATGGATTAGAATTAGCAGGTAGAGAATAGCAGTAGATAGGCAGATACACCCAGAAATAAATATCCATGAGTGAAGAGCATTCTAATGTTATAAAGAGTAATGATATGATAGGAAACACTGATAAATATCTGACTTTCTTTCTTCCCTCTGTTGATCTACACTGTAGTAAGGTATTGCTGTCTACCTTGGTCAAGGTGACTGGTGGCCCTTAGCACACTGATGACATTGCTGGCTCTAATTACCGTCTGCTGGGATAGATGGTAGCTTTTCCAGTGTCCCAGTCCCCTAGTCCACAGGGCATCCTCTGTTAAAACCTCTTTTCTGTTACCTGGCATTGTGCTAGATTATAACCTCAGGGAAAACTGGTTCCCTTTCAAAGACCAACTTGACTGAAAAATTTTGGGTCTTCCCTGGCTTGCTGCTACATAAAAGATTCTCAACTTCTATTTTATTTTAATGTAGACCAGAACACCCCTGTTTCTGGGTGTCTGTGAGCTAAATTCACTGATGCTCACTGAGAAAATAAAGCTTTTTCTACATAGGATGTGGGTACAAAGTCCAGCTCGCCTTTCTACTGGTAGGCATATTCTGTGGCATTATTTGTTGGGGTCCCTTTCCTGAAACAAGACACAAACATGCTGGTTCATGTACTTTGGCTTGAAGTATAAACCTTTTAGATTTTTTTTTCTTCCTGTGATTACATGTATAAGGAAGTAATGACCACCTGTTGGAGAAAGGTTAAAACTGCTTTTCCTTTGAAGTAAGTTTCCTATAAATGAGGCACCAAGATCTGAGAACATCAAAACATATAGTCTGAAACACACATGGACTGACATGGAATGCCAGTCATTGGAACCGTCACAGCAAAAATTGTGCAGTGTAGAACCTCACTTTGCAGAGACAATGGAGATAGGTTAGAATTGTCATATCCACACCTATGAGGCTACAACAGCATGCACCCAGATGGGTGTTTACAGTTCAGCCAGTGTGAGGAGGCACTGAGGGTCTAAGCTAACTGTCTTGTACGTTTGTGACTTCCCTGAGTGTGAAACATTGATATATTTCGTAGGGAGTTATACCGTCACCCCACTATGTTTAGTACACACAGATTAGTCATTCGACTGAACACTATTCCTATTGTGTTATATGCCAATATCTGACAGTAAACTGACCTTTGTATTTGTCATGTCTGCAGGATGAAGGTGTGTTGCTGTCCTTGCTTACTCACTTGATTTGCTTTGTTCTGAGTATAACTGAATTGCTTGCCAGTGACTCTGTCCTGGCTCGTTCAGGATGCTAGAGAAAAAAGAACAAATGTACCTTATATTTCTCATAATCCCAAACTATCCAGCCTCCCAAATATTGAAAATCCTTGAGCCTTCCTCCATTTTCTCTATGGTAATTAGCCTTACATAGTGTGACTACCCCCTGAGCAGTAGCTGTGTTGTAAATAAAGGAAAGCTCTCTCTCTGGTTCTGTGAAGAGGCCATGCTGTTACCATTCTTTCTCTCAGGTCTCTGTCTGTGTCCAAAGGATGTCATTCATAAGGAGGCAGCATTTAAAAGGTTGTGCAGAACCTCAACTCAGAAAACTTCAATTTGTAGTGCAGTTTGAGTATGCCTTATCCAAAATTCTTGGGACCAGAAGTGTTTTAGCTTTTGGAATATTTGCATATATATGACATATCTTATGGCCTTAGAAATATTCTAAAATGTGCAAATATTACAGGGGTGGGACTCATCTTTTAATTATAAAGTTCATTTATATTTCATATATTTGTTACGTATAGCCTAAAAGTCATTTTGAATAATTTTTTAAAATAATTTTATGCAGGAAACAAAATTTCATGTTATAGAATTTTCCAGTTGTTGCATTAGGTGTATGTTCAAAATGTTACAGATACTGGACTTTTACTTGGAGATACCCAGCCTGTAACACAGGTATGTAAGGAGGGTGCCTTCGTTAGCACTTAGAGCTCTGATATGACTTACACTTCATTGACGAATTCCAGATTGACTTAGGAACAAATTTGTTTTTAGGAATCACAATGCGTTTGGTCCTCTTAGCTCTTATGTGACCTCACATCACTTGGAAACCATCCCTCTTCTGTAAAGATAAAAACAGAGGCTTATCTCCTGTCCAGAAATCATTTTCCTCTTGACAAAAGGTTTTTCCCTAAGAGTTCAAATTGCTGTGCAATTTCACTTCCTCTTTTTCTCTGTTGTCTTCCAAAATCAAAACACTGTTTAAAAGGAGATTAGCCTTTCTGAACAATCTATGTCCAACCAGGCTATCTCCTGTTGACTCAAAAAGTTAATAGCAGGTATTTATCAATGCCCAGAACACATTTAGTACATCCAGCTGCCATTACCACTACCTTCCTGCTTCAGATGGCAATAGCTTTGTAAAAACTCAGCTTTATGAATGGCACAGAGGAGCAAATCAATGAATGAGGTATGATAAATATATATGTGTGTGTGTGTGTGTATATATATATATATATATATATATAAAATAGGACAGCTGCATCCATCATTTTGAGAAATCTCAAATACTCTCTGTAAACCGTGGGCAAGAAGCTGATCTGTATATGCTCCAGCAATGTTTGGAGTCTGTCTTGTGGATTGGGACCTGGACAGAGAGAGAGCTTTTCAGTTTTTATAAATATAAACATTCTCCATGATTCAGAATGCTGCTCTGCTCAAGAAATTGACATGAGGGAGGGAGATGCGGCTGAAGGTACCAGGACAACCTCATAGATGATCATGTTCATGCCCTCACACCATCTGCCATCTCTCTCCAGTGTCTGCTATGGTCTGCGCCCTTCCAGGGTTGAGAGTAAGCCCGCTGTGCTTGGCTCTGCTTGCGCCTCCAGTGAAGACTGTGCATTGCTGTGTGGCACCATCGTAGAGGTTTTATGTGCCCTGGGATATCCTCTGCCACATATTTTTTTTTTGCAGAAAATGAAGTGTACACTAATGGATCTTAGGAAAACTTTTTGCACATGATCTTTGTTTAAAACCCATGGTACCACTACATACGGAAGCTGGAATTTCAAGAACCCTTCTTGAACTGTGAGCTGGATCTGTTACCATAGGGAGTTTGGCAGGGAAGGTACCGGGAATTTTAATTCAGAATCTATTTATATACTATTAAAAGATTGGGGTACCATATTTTATGTAAAAGTTGGATATTTAGATCCCATATTTCAGGATCAGGAGCTTTTTTTGCAATCATTAACATAACAAATTAATGTCATAAAGATATTTATCAGTAAATTATATTGAATTTTTTGTTTATTTTGTAGTGTTTCTGTATTTATCTGCACTTCATGTGTGTTTATAGACACACAGACATATACAAACATGTAATTAAGCTCTTGTTATTCCTAATCTAAATTGCCAAATACGTATATTGTATGTTTACACTGTTTTAAATGAGTTTAAAAATAAACTAAATAAGCACATTTTAACTTAGTTTTTGTGCTTGAAGACCCACTCCACTGGAGAGTAATTGTCTTGGCTTTATGTTGAAAATCAAGATATTTAGGACTCTGATTTGTCATTTGGGGTTTCAGTAAGTGGCAAATCTTAGGAGAACTTAGTGACATCTCTTGATAAATTAGCATGAGAGATTAGGAACTTACCAGTCATGTTGTTAATAATGTACATATCTGAAGAGGAGAGAGAGGTAAACAGGCCATGAAAGAAATGTGAGCTATAACAACCTGCATACTTGTTAGTGTGCTATGTAAGAAATGTCATCATACAAATAATCAATGGTGTTGGAGAGGTGGTTCAGCATAGTGCTCTTCTAGAGGACTAAGTTTGTTTCCCAGCACCCACATCAGGCAGCTCCGAACCACCTGTAACTATAGCTCCAAGGGATCCAATTCCCTCATCTGGGCTCCACAGGCATCTGCACATACATAGCAAACACACATACCCATAAATGAAAATCTTTACAAACAAATATCTTTTGCACACTTTATGACCTTTTTTGTAAAGGAAGAGAATCATGTAGTTTTTATTGGAAAAAAAAACGGATTGGAACACAACAAGGCAAGTCACCTTTCACAAATTAAGCCCGACAGGTTGAGCATTGGACTTTGTTTGATCGAATGAATTATTGTTTTTATCAGTATCAGGCTGCAAATCCATGGCATAGAGAGATGTTAAGATTGTTTAACAACCTATTCAGTCAGCTGATACAAGTATTAGGATCATACTGGTTAGTTAAGCTACTATTTAAGAATGCTCAGTTGAGGGCTGGGGGATGGACTGAATCAGTAAGACGCTTGTCTGCAAGCTTAAGTTCAGATCCCCAGCACCCACATAGAAGCCAGGCTTGATGGTGCAGGCTTGAAATCCCTGGGGAAGCAGAGACAAAGGGATCCCCTGGAGCTCATTAGATAATCAGCTTCTCCAAATCAGTGAGCCCTAGGTCTCGTGAGGAACCCTGCCTCAAGAAATAAGGCCATGAGTAAGAGGATACCCAGTCCATCTTTAGTCTCCACACATGTGCACACACATGAACGTACCCATGAACACATACCTATGAACACATGAAAACCCATCCACATGAACATACATGAACACATATCCCCAGGAACACACAAAAACACACCCACATGAACATACATGAACACACGAGCACATACTGCCATGTGAACAAATCCCCATGAGCACACACATGAAAGCATCCACATGAACATAATGATCATACACATGAACACATCCTCATGGACACACATCCCCATGGATGCACACATCCACATGAACACACACATGCCCATGAACACACACTTATGAACACATACATGAATGTTGGGTCAGAAGAAATTGATCTGGATGGAACCCCTTATAACTGGTGTTTTTATTTAGAAATAAAAACAAGTTAGTTCCCTGTAGTTAAATTTGGAATGATTCAAGCAACAGAATAAGTCATGCTGCATTGAATGGTTGGCTTACCCTAAATATAAAATAAAGGCTCATGAATCCACACTGAAAAAAATGGTGTTTCATTTATATAAAATAGATGGGGTAGAAGAGACAAATCGTGAAAGAAATGTTCTGAATAGCTAGAAATGTGCCTACTCCTACCTCTGGTAGACTTTAAGTCTCTTCTGCTTACGGATGGGTTACTCTAACTCTATTTATGGATGGGTTACTCTACTGCTTATG